CTAGAAAAATTACACTTGTCCTAAGTGTACAGGTTGAATTTAAATTTACTTGCAAGTAATTTCAATACTTTGCTGGCAAGAATGATTATGAAATAAGTAGAAGGGAAGGAGAGAAGCTCTCAAACTTCATTATATTGCTAGAAAGAACATGACTTTTGTAAATTATTTGATTGGTCACGCTCATCCTTAACATCCTATTTATAAGCTAAGGTCTATGGCATAGCACTACCAAAAAATATATATATTTAATTAATGTAAGTAAAACAGCATAGAAAGGCTTATCAAGTGCTTATTTTAAAGTACACTAAGCTAATCTATGTGATAACATTAAATATGACACTTTTTATGTAAACGATAAATCATGTGAACTGCTGACTTCACATTTGATTGTTGATTTTTGCAAGTTGCCTGAACTCTTTTGGTGGGGGGTTGATGAGGTGGTTTTGCATAGCCTTTGGATAGAACAGCTTCAAATGAATGATCTCTAACAATATGGATTCGGCGGCAAATTTTGCAAATACGTTTGCAACTTTTGTCATGTATTTAATCTTGAAATGCCAACTAGCCTTGAACCAATTTCATGCTGATCGGTGAGACCAATCGAATTATTGGTATTTTGACATACATGTATAAGTTCTTCTATTTTCTTAAGTTGTCGCATTGATTATGACTGATTATGTTGATTTGACATTTTCACAAAAGTTGCATCATGAAATTCTATAAATATAAACCTAAGGGAGGCATCTTGGGTGTTTTTGCCTATTCTTATTCTTTGCCTAGCTCAAAAAGCCCTTTCAATTACTAAGGTGAAGCACTATGCAAAATCCAAGGTTAAAATCCTGCAAAAATCAAGATGTTCTCACTTTCATGATAAAAATGTTTAAGAAAAAAGGTTAAAAGTTCAAAAATAGATGAGGGGGATGGAAAAACTATTCAACACAAAACCCAATTCTCTTCCTAAAACAATAAATTGAAATCCGATAAAGCAAGGAGATTATCGATCCAAAGGTTCATGTTAGCCCTACAACTTTGTTGGATGTTCCGCAGATCTTGCAACTTCAATGAGCCCTTTTATAGAGAATGAAAATAATAATCAATCTAAGCTTATCACAAATATATCTATCTATATATATATATATATATAGAAGAAGAACTCAAAATCGATAATCGCTTTATGAAAATTCTGAAATGGACAATGGATTTTGATCCTAAATTAAAATCTCCTATTATCCCGGTTTGGGTTAATTTTCCAGGGCTCAAGGTGCATCTCTTCAATTATGAAATCTTTTATACATTGGCAACTATTTTGGGAAACCGATGAAGGTCGATACTCCCACGCTTGATAAAATCAGGCCATCTAAAGCTTGTGTGCTTGTAGAGCGCGACATCACTCAACCCTTTCCAGGGGAGATTTGGATTGGCTCCCCTCATCAGGGCAATTGGCAGAAGATTGTGATGGGACCTTATCCCCAATACTGCTATCACTGTGGAATGTTTGGTCATAGTTCTTCATCCTGTGATTGGTTGCATCCCCATCTACGGTCGGCTGTAGCCCCACCTCCTGTTTCTCAGCACACTTCTGCGGAGGTTATACCCTCTTCCCACTGCCTGTGATACCTACTGTTATGCCCATGGCAGATACAATGCAAAATAGTTTGTCTACTGATATTACTTTGGAAAATATTGATAAGAGTCGTTTGTTGGAGGAGAGTCAGGTGGTTGCCCCTGGAAGACAGAATGCGGTCACTGCCCCTACTTCTACTGGAGTGGGCATACTATCCTCTCAAGCTCTACCTACAGTGGAGAGTGCTCAGGCTCCCCTCTATGAGGTGATTGAAGCTAGGGATGAAGCGAACATTCACATTCAAATGACGGAAAAGGTGTCTCCTAATACTAATGAGGGTACTGCTATTAATCAGTTAGTAGAACTACTTGTTCAGGGGGCAGGTGTTTCCCAAGTATTGGAAGACTGTCCTACACAAACTCAGGAACTCATCGCTGCAACTGTCTTTCCTTCTACAAATCAGCAGACTTAACAGTCTTCAGAAGAAGAATGACAAGTTTACACTTCTCGGCGGAGGAAGAAGGCTGGGGACACTGTTCAGCTTGGAAACTTAATGGATGATACATTGGTCACTCCTGGCAATAGAACAACACTTCAGAATTTGCTATTTGGATCCGCTCCAAGAACCAAAGGATGAGGCAGGTCTAAATTGTCTCGTCCATAGATACCTGTTTTTGCATGTTTTCTTTTTTTGAGTTTTTTTTATCTTTTTGTAGGGATATATTTGTATCTTGTATCGTATGAGTAGGGCATCATCTATTGGGCATTCTCATACAACTTTTTGTATCTTTTTTTATTTCAATATAATATACCCTAGGGCTTCATAAATAAATAAATAAATAAATATATATATAT